TTCCTTGGCGTTACAGGCGTAGCTCCGTATACGAATACGTATACTCCAAACCCGTGCTAACACGTGGAATATATCACGTGACTTTAAAATTAAAGAAGATGAGGTCAGGGCTAAGCCAAAGTTTATTTATTTATTCTTACTTTATTTGAGAAGGCTGTTATTGGGAGATTCAATTTCATGATGTCATTCAAGCCAAACAGAAAATTATTAAATCCTAATTTAAACGGGTACAAGCTAGCTGACCACTCCCTACCGTTGCTATGGGAAACCTTTACCGGTGGAGTACACAAGATAAGCAACACTCATTTTTGTCATATCAACACGTCCAACAAGCAACAATGAATAATAGTTTGACCTTTGACCCCTGGAATGACTCACATCAGAGATAGTAGACGGGAAAATGGATTGGAAACGCCTATAGTCGCGCCCCTATAGGTGTGGGCACGTGCTTTTTTTCTTCCTGTCTATGGCTGTAATCCTTGTGGTGAAAGAAGTAAATCTTGTATGAGTGATTTTTCTTGAGGTAAAAATGTAGTGTAGTTATTTTCCATAACTGTAAATGTGATATCTTTGAAAATAAATATCTTTTTGAATTTTTACTCTTGGTGTTGTTCATTTGAATAAAATGTCCAGACTACTATTGAAATCATTTGCTTTGTGTAATTATTTTTCACAATAAGGACGAAGTTTCAATGAGAGTGTGGCATATAATGTCATGCCTTTATGAGTTTCATTGGAATATCATGTTTGATTGATGAGAAAATTACAATTTCTTTGAAAAATGTATAATAATAGCATATCTCAGCTTTGACTTTGTGTAATTAATTCACCAATACAGTAGCAAATAGAATATTACTGATACTTTATAAACATAGTATTATCAGTGTGTTACTGGAATAATACACTTTCTATTATAGATAATGGGTCGTAAGCTGAAGTTTTATCATAAAAAGAACTCTGAGAGAAAAAGGCAAGCTGCAAAACTTAATGATGTCGGTTGTCCGCCGAAAAGAAAATGTAAGAGATCAGTCAACCTGGATTTTTCCAAATCACTGCTATTGCCAGAGGGGTGGGTTAGTAATCTTAGCAAGGGTACACTTGGATTAGCAAAAATAGTCACTAAAGAGCCTCCTGTCATCACTCGTTCGCTCAGTGTGTCACAAAATGGACAGTGGATTTTACATATTCATGGAAAGAAGATTGATGAAACCAAATGTGCTGCATTGCATTCCTTGCCTAACCCTACTGATGATGTTCAATCACTGTTAGTTCTTGTTGACAATCTAAATGTTTGTCCTGGTCATCCAGATAAAGAATATGTAAGTATGGTTGAATGCAAGAAGGGCAGAATTAAATCACACAATGGCAAAGTTGTTGCTAAATTAGATGATTATGCAAATGTACTTTTTGAAGGTGTGAGCTATGAGTCAACAGTTAGGCCTGTAACGTGTGAGCTACTTACATCAAAGACAACTCGTTGCAATTTCTGTTTATTTTACAGATCTAACTTGCGGGCTATTTATAGCAATTTCAAAAAGGATTCTACTGCTAGGAAGGCTTCAAATTGTCGGCCCAATAGTAAGACTAATTACAAGCATTTGGGAACTCCAGAGAAACATAAAAGACTCACTAATCTTCGAACTGAAGTAGCCCGTGCTAGGAATGAAGTCAAAAGATTACGTAAGCGTATACAAGATTCTATGGAGAAAAATGCAGTGGAAGTAGATGAAGACCTGGATGGTGACATGCATGCCATAATGACAGAGCATCAGAATGTAATTAATGAGACGCATGCTACTGATTCATTTCATCGATTATTTTGGGAAGAGCAACTTAAAGCTCGATTGAAACAGGATTCCCGTTCAATGCGATGGCACCCAATGATGATATGCTGGTGTCTCAACATTAAGTTATTATCTCCTTGTACCTACACTGCTCTTAGATCATCACGTCTATTGAAGTTACCATCGGAGCGTACATTAAGGGATTATACACATTGGGTGAAGGCAAAACCTGGCTTCCAATCTGAGGTGGATTGCCAGCTGACAGATGAAGCATTCTCTGTACCATTGGATAATGGCAATGGCAATCATCTTAGACAATATGTTTGTTTGGTTTTTGATGAGGTTAAAATTGAGGAAGGCTTGGTTTATGACAAAGAGTGTGGTACATTGATTGGTTTTGTGGAACTCGATGATATATCAACACATTTAAACTTATCTGAGAAACGTCAAATAGCTACGCATATGTTAGTATTTATGGTTAGGGGGCTGTTTTCTTCTCTACAATTTCCATATGCCCAATTCCCTAGCTGCAATCTTTCAGGAGGTTCACTATACCCATTAGTATGGGAATGCATTGCACATTTGGAGATGCTCGGTTTTAAAGTTCTTGCAGTCACTGCTGATGGGGCCAGTCCTAATCGTAGATTTTTTCAGCTGAACTCGGGCATCTGCAAAACCAAGTTCACATATAAAACCACCAATATATACTCAAAGGAAAGCCGTCCGTTGTTTTTTTCAGTGATGTGCCTCATTTGTTGAAAACGATAAGAAATAGTTGGGCTAATTCTGGAAGTCATGCTTGCAGTAAAAGTTTACAGG